ATGGGGGAAATAAGCATATTTAGCTTCTTGCCAAGGCTTCATGTATTTTGCACCGGATGTCCCTAAAATAATATCCTTCACATGTGATGCTAGTGCCGGACAGATATCCGGTTCATCGTGCTTAAAGTACTGACCAAAATAAGCCGTAGTTAGAACAGCTTGGGAGATCCCTTCATCAATAACACGTTTTCTCAAATGGTGTAGAACGGCATCGATATGCTGAATAATTTAAATGTGGTTTAGTAAACATATTTGTATAAATAAAACAATTTCAGTGAAAGAACATAACTACATTTAATTTGGATACCTCGATTTCAATCCAAGCACCAGGATGCAACATGTCTGTCCAAAACTTTTTCCCCATACCATCCGATTCTGAAAATGCATGAATAAGGCACTGAACTTTCCTGTTCTCTTTAATGGCTTTTTCAATCCAGCCTTCAAATGCCTTCAAAACGTTTTCATCAGGTTCGTCAAGTTTCAAAGATGCAGCATCACCGTTTCTTTTTGTTTTGTTCTCGGTCCTAGCATATTTTAAAATCCTTGTTTCTCTTCTCTTTCTGTGCCCCCTTCCCAATGCCTATAAGCAAATATAATCATATCAAAAACTTGGTCGCCCCATTTGGTATACTCTTTGTGATTGACCAAATGGAAAACTTTACCTCTTTAATTTTATTATCAAATTTGACAATTTTTATATCATCATCCTCACTCTCATCATCCTTCTTTGAGTCTTCTTCCCTCCTCTCCATATTAAGCTGCTACATATCTCGATTTCAGAATTGGTTTAAGTTTTTGGGTCGACTTAACTTAGTCCACATGCATGTCGACCATAATGGTTCAGTAATCTGGCCGATTAATAAAAACAATTACTCCGTACCTCTTTATTCTCAAACAAAGTAATCTGATTTGATTTCTCTCTACCCCCTTTAGCCTCTTCAGTCACCTTAACGACAAAAGGTATACATTTAATAATTCTCATTACAGTGTGTTTTTGGGTCGACCCATAAGTGTAATGTTGCTTTTACCTGGTTCACTTGATTCTCAGCCTCATCCTCAACTTGAAAATATGGTTCCTTGAATGAAAACACAAAAGTGAATTCTAAATAAATGCCAAGGCTTTCTTTTAAATAGTATATTCGACTTGATCTTGATCGAACATTAACTGCAATGCACAGTTTTACCTCCTTTTGATGCTCAGCCTCATCATGGGCATTTTTCTCTTCTTCTCTGCCAATGGACTATATAACGAAATAAATTAAAACTAAATATTGAAGGACATATTATTAAAAGTTCATCTTGATATAGCATTAAGACAAACCTTCAGAAGCAACTTCTCAAATCTCTTTTGCCTTTCCTTTGCCCGTGCCTTCATTTCTTCAAACTTTTGATCATAATTCTTGTGTCTTTCTTTTGAAAGTGCCCCAAATTCTTCAAACTTGTGGTCAATATACATTTTTAAACAATCTTCATTGGCAGGAGGCCCAGGCTGAAGGGGCCTAGATGGATGAGTAGAGGGAGTAGAGGTTTGAGTGACAGGAGACTGTTTCTTCTTCTTTCTCTGTTCCTCTTCACCTTCTTCTTTCTTCTTCCTTTTCACCTTCATCTTTTTAGGAGACTGCTTTTCCTCGTTAAGAATCTCGACCTCAGCTGCTTCCCTTTTCGAGGAGGTTGGAATAAGAAATAATTTTCTCTCTAATAATGATTTGACAAATCTATCCAGCTCAACATGAGGGTTAGTGTCTTCTATAAGCTCCAAATTAGAGATCAGACCAGAAGTAATCTCCATAGAGTCAGGTAGTAGAATACTCTGTACACTCTAACAAATACGAAGTATTGATTTGTTTAGTTCTAGTTGTATCACCAAACAACTTTCAACTAAGTGGACTAAACAAAAGTCATGGAAAATTGTACTTACTTTTATTGATTCTACAGCTTCTTTAACCTGTTTGGTACGGATCTTTTTTGTTCTCGGTAGACTCCAGAGACATATCCTTGGCTGAGCAGGATCCTTTTGAGGCCTTCTACTGGCAAACTTTTGAGCAAAATCAGGGGCGCATTCAAAAAGCAATATCTATCCAAATAAAAATTGAAAAACTTAAGAAATGCATAAACAAATTAATTACGATAGTACTACGTACTACTACTATACTATAGCAAATTGTAGAGGTCCTTACAGATATGGGGATTAAAAATCCTGTATATTGCAGTGTTGGTGACTTATGATTATCAGATATACCATGAAGCTTTGTCCCCAAATCCTTGTTCAATGAAACTAATGATTCTCTATACGCCCATGTACCCCATGGGAAGTCTTTTTCTTCTCTTGCCCCTATTTTTCCAATAATCCATTCCGGAATGGGAGCTTTTCTTTTCGCAGGAGCTAGAAGGACCATAACTACAAACATGAGCATTGCTACTCTGATCACTTCTTCTTCAGCTTCCTTTTTCAACCCTTCGTCAGTTTGCTTCAAATTTCTGCATAATTGCTGAAATCTTTTTCGAACCGTGACATAGCTAACAAGTCCACCACGGTGCTCAAAGTGCTTCTGCATGAATTCGGACATAGAAACCTCATCAATATCATGCTTATAATTTTTCCCAAGGGAGCTGCAGTTGAGCCCACTGATGAGAGCAAACTCCGTGATAGAGTAGCGGACTGGAACTCCCTCCACTACAAACCACACGTCCGAGTCCCTTTTAATTTTGGCTATTCTAGATAGGAGAGGCCACAATAGTAATGGAGCAGGGACGAAATCAACATCTAGGTATTTGCCAAATACACTATTTTTAAACACTTCCATGAGATGATGAAATTCACCAAGCCATTTTTCCATTTCTTTTTGAAATACAGACAATGTTCCCCTTACTGTGAGCTTCATTGATGGAAAAAGTGAGCTGTCCACCACTGGAGACAAGGAAGGAACCTGCATAATACGGAGTAATAAAAAGTCAACAACAGCTCGACTAATATAGGTCGAACACACTGTGATGATCGACCAAATGGTTTAAAATAATGCTTAATGAAATTAGAACCAAATAATGCTGATGAAATTAGAACCAAATAATGCTGATGAAATTAGCATTAAAATTCTTAGACGCATTTTAACCAATTATTCTTGGGCACAAAGTATGATTAGGTAAAAAATTAGAAATGCCCGCCAAGTATCGCTTACCTGGATATCATATTCAGCTGCTTCCGATACTTCTGATGCTTGTAGTCTCCCTCTTGCTTGGCTTTTCACTAAAGGAATAGTAGGAGTTTTGAACTTCATTGCAATCCAAGGAGATGGAAGAATGCCTGTGGTCGAAGTTTTGGAATGTCAAATCGAAACCAAGCTCCGTGGCTGAAAGTAGTGAAGAGGAATGGAGCCAGACAGCGAGTTTATAGTGAAGAATATGAGGAACTCCTAACTTTTGACACTTCAAAATTCAGAGGACGTTTTGGTAAAAAAAAAAAACCAAAACTTGTTTTGGTAAAAAAAACTTTTTCCAAAACTTGTTTTGGTAATTCGAAATGATGTCGTTTCCAAAATCCAAATTCAGAAGACTGAAATTAAGCTTACTCCGCACCATATAACTTGTTGACAAGACGCATCTGTACCGACAAATAGGAGAGATATAGAGAGAGGTGGGGAAATAGGAAAATGCCGGAGGTATACACAACTTATACACACAATGGTCACACACAATTATTGGTACCCAGTTACCTGTGACCACAGACAAGGTGCAAAAATATCCCTCATTTTTAATAAAGGTGCAATTTAATCGTTATCGACTTTAAATTAATCAAATAAATTTTAAAAGGAGACCAAAAATAAATTAATAAATCGAAATTAAAAAATAAAAATTTTAAAAATGTAATTGTGTCCATTTCTACTTTTATTGTTTTTATATCACAATTTAATATTTTAAGTATAAAATATCATTTCAAAATATGTAATTTTATAGTGCAAAGAATGCAAAAAATTGATTTTTCTCTACTTTGCAAAACAATATTAAATTGTGATATAAAAACTATAAAAGGGAGAATTAGACACTATTACATTTTTATTTTATTTTTTATATTTCGAATTTATACTTTATATTTGGTGCTTTTTGTAATTTATTTTATTAATTTAAAGTTAATAAGGATTAATTTTCCCCATTATAAGAACATGAGGGATATTTTTGCTCCGATCCTTTTTAAAAGTTCAGGGGTATATTTGTTCCGAAAAATAGAACAGGAGTATATCTATTCCCACACCCATTCTATATGGGTATATTGTCCTTTTCCCTTTACTTTTTTGTAAAAAGTACACTGTCTGACACTGACAAGTACTTTTTTTTACAAAAAAGTAAATGTCTATGGACACAGACAAATTTGTCTGTGTACACAGACAACTCTTGTCTGTGGTCACAGGCAACTCCGTTCCAATTGTCAGTGACCGACATTTTGTGTACAAGTTGTGTACAACTTGTGTACCCTTAGCATTTCTTGGTAAATAGTGGGGTACGCAAAAAGGAAAAATGGAAAATGCTTAGTGTACATGACTTCTACACAAAGTACACAAAAACCCCTAGTTGTCTCTCTACATTGTCTGTGTACAGAAGCAATGTACTTGTGTACAACTTGTGTACACCAAGAATGGTCCGTATATTTTTTGTGTACAACTTGTGTACACCAACAATAGTGATAGTGTATCACACTATCACTATTATTGTGTATTTCTTTTTTATCCTTAATTATTGTGTACTTTTGGAAAATAAAATACCCCGTTTTTTTTGAATCATATACTCCATATATTTTAATACTCCCTCAGATCCCTATTTAAATGTTCACTAAATTTGGTTTGGCACATTATTTAAGAAGTAAAGTAGTAGGGATGGTGCAAACTGCAAAGTGTAGAAAAAGTACGAGAGAGTGTGTAAAAGTATGAAAGAGAAGATAAAAGGTAGAAAAAGTAAGGGTAGTTCAGTACTACGTATTTTGTAAAGGATAAACTTACTATAAATGGAATTGTAACAAACTTTTAAATACTCGGTACATTCCAAAAAGAAAAGTGTAGCAAACATTAAAATATGGAGGAAGAAAGTTACATCTTAATGTAGTCGTTTGCTTTTTTCACAACTTTTTCCCTTTCAATGTTAAATTTGGACAGTAATATTTGTGCTCCATACATTAATCTCATCTTCTGCAGGGTTTCACTTTGAGCTTTGATTCCCTCATTTGTAGGAGGTGCAAATCCAGAATTCCATTTGTGTCCTTCGCCACGAAATGTCTCCAAATGGCGCATAGCAAATATTCCGCTGTCAACTTTATTGCCATTATGTCTCCATGGCATACACAAAATTCTGGGAATCCAATTTGTGGCCTTTGCGCCTGAAAGTTTCACTTTCTTGCAGAAGATTTTGAATCCTTCACCCTATACAAGAATACAAGAAGTTAAATTAATGGACTAAATAATACTAGTACGTAGTGTAGTACTCCGTACCATTTTTCTTGAAAAGTTGTAGTGAAATTTTTACCATTTTCGTAAAACTTTCACCATATTTATCCCCAAAGTCCACCCCATCTGGAAGCTGGTGGTTGTCAATCACATCAACAATGTTGCTTTTTGTGTAAAAGCAGTAGATATAATAGTGCAGATCCTTGTGGATTGGAAACATTATCTGCAGTATACATCACTCATAAATAATTCATTGCATACTGAAATCCTTGTGCTTTGCAACCACTTTAAAAAAAAGCACTTCTCAGCTTTTGGCTTAAAAAAGCACTTATTTACCAAACACTACCAATTTTTTATTTTTCTCGGCTTTCGTCTCAAAAGTGCTTTTCCACTTTTTATACACCAAAAGCACTTATTTTACCAAACACTACCAACTTTTACTTTTCAAAATCACTTTTTTCTCAAACACTATCAACTTTTACAAATAATCACTTTTTCCAAATCACTCCAAAAGTGCTTTTTTTAAAGCAGAAGCTGTTGCAAACACTCCCTAAAACAATACAGAATGTAGATAACTCATATCGGATTTCTCACTTACATTACTCAACACCTGTAGTTACATAGTATGCTAACTACTTTACATATCTCTTGCGTAGTACTCCATCCGTCCCATAAAAATATAAAATAGTTCCCCCATTGACTTAGATTGAAGACTTGGAGTTTAAGAAAATGGGAATAAAGTCGAAATGTATGGTTGTGGTTGAGTAAGAAAAAGGTAAATGAATATGAGCCACATAAACCATTCCACAAAGGGAAATCAATCATCATTTATCAATCATCATTGACCCAAGTGCCGCAAAGGCTCCCACCTACAGTGGGTGGGGTAAGGGGGGTCGGATGTACGCAGTCATACCCCTGTACTAAAGCACAGAGAGATTGTTTCCCGATGACCCATAGTGAAAATTGCGACCAAAATTACATGGACTGACCGTTGCTTCATAACAAAGAAGCACAAACAGTTAGGTGAGCATTTTGCTTTATTCCATCATATTACTATTTTTTAGACATTTTACCATATCAAATTGCTTAACATCTGCTCCTGCTTCATTGACTTCTTTTTCTAGTCTCTCAACCATGTTTTCCATTGGGTCACCAGATGTAACATCAAACTGTGCCTGCACATTCAAATTGATTCAATTGAATCAAAATATAGAAACTGAAGTTCTCTACTTTATTTTACAAATTTACAAGAAAAAACTATCCGTACATATACTAGGGGTGATGCTATGAAGGCGCGCTTTGTAGTATTGTTTGATTTTTCTCTGTCATTCACAATTTTTGCCCATGCATAAATGATGGAGTTTTCTACAGTTTGTTCTTCAAGTGTCTGGAACTCCTCATGAGTGATAAACAAACCTCCCTCATCTTGATAGAGACACTCTCTAACACAATAATATTTTTCAAACCAATTGAAACTATTAATTACTCGTACGAAATAATATTTCTATTGAAATACGGAGTAATAAATTATATAATACGAGACTTTCTTACTTCTCAACAACTTTTGAAAATCCATAGTCAAGAACAATCTTTTCTTCCCTGCTCATCTCCTTGCACAATCTTCTATTGTTCTTCAGTAGTGGTGACCTGTAATTCACATTTCTAAGCTTCTTTCTTCTATATGCCTTCACCTCATAATTCCTTTGGAAAAAACAGCATAATGTTAAGTTGATTTTATTAGTTAAAAATATAAACGAATACGTAAGAAACAAATAACAATTACCCTTGATTATTATCAACTTCTTTCTTTGCTTCACCATCAGCAGGAGTCTTGTCATCTCCAGCCACCCTAAGCTCTATATTCACTTCTTCATTATCAACTTCTTTCTTTGCTTCACCATCAGCAGCAGTCTTGTCATCTCCAGCCACCCCAAGCTCTATTTCTTCATTAGCATCATTTTGATTCACTCCGGGAGTATTGATTTTCCCTGCTTCATTTACTCGTGCAGTGACATCGTCTTCATTGTTTTCACCTTCTACTGTTCTTGCAATCTCTCTGATCTGTTCACCAGTTGTCTGATCATCAGTTTGCTTCTGATTCTTTTGAACGGCATTTGTTTCAGGTTGAGTCATGGTAAACACAATGCCCAAATCGAGTGAAGGCATTGTGAGTTTCAGTAGTGCAGCTTTTTCAAGCTTTATGAGCGCTTCCATTGCCCCAGGTTCATTGAAGAAATCATCATCTTCTTCCAGTGTGCACTTCTCAGAGAATCTCTCATTCTCAGTTGCCTGCTCTTTACCATTACCTTGCCTGATGAAGTAATCGGCAGTGGTCAGGTATATCTTTTTTAAGATATCCGAGTTTGGAAATCTTTTTGAAATTGCGGATGGCAACTTTGAAAATTCAACAAAAGCATCACTGAACTTTTGTGCCACAGCTATAATCTTCTTGACACAATCCTATAAAAATTACTAGTATAATATTAGTCGTGTAATAGTACATAATGTAATAGGTATTGAATTACGTCACATAAAACAGCTTTTAATATTACAATCTCCTTGGCACAGTCCTATAGTTATGTAGCAATTGATTTATGTTACATAAAATAGGGGTTAAATGCATAACTTGTACCTCAACTATTGGTAATGTTGCATTTTGGTACCTTAACTCTTAAATGAATCGAAACGGTACCTTAACCATACATAAATGTTTCGAATTGAGATTTTATTCAAATTTCCGACCAAAAAATTACACGTGACGGTCAGGTCAGAATTCTATGCGTAAAGTCTACTTCACCTTATTTTTATCTATATGATCACTATAGGGTGACTCTACATATGAAATTTTGATCGTCATGAATGACATTTTTGTTAAAAATTTGAATGAAATCTCAATTTGAAACATTTATGTATAGTTAAGGTACCGTTTCGATTCATTTAAGAGTTAAGGTACCAAAATGCAACATTACCAATAGTTAAGGTACCATTTATGCATTTGGCCCCATAAAATAGCCTTTAAGATCACAAAGTGTTTTATTAAAATTTACCTCCTTCGACAGCATTTCATCATCTTCATTTTCTTCATCTTCTTTTCCTCCTTTTTTTTCTTCATCGTCCTCTTCCACTGTTAATATTCGCTGTGTCACCTTCCCCAGACCAAAGCCCACCTTTCTCTCATCTTTGACTCTCTTGTCAATTCTCTCCTTGTCCCAGATTCTAATTGTTGGGTAAGCAGTCTCCAAAAGTTGGCCTTTGAATTGTACTCGGTCAAAGTAACATATCATTAGAAAGAGTAATGGTCCGCTGAACATCTTTGATTGATTAGCTTGCCATTCCTCGCCTGCATCCATCAGCGATCTTCTTGTGTAGTTGCACCAGTTCATCTTTGGTATATCAGCTACATTCACCAAAGACAGCAATATTTTAAAATTGCTCCTCACACTCTGGTTTCCTCTGATGAGGCAAGAGACTGTAAAGACCACAAAGTTTCTGATGAATCGGTCTCCAGTATCAGTATCTGCAACTATTTTTTCAATCATTTTTGATGTTTGAGGGCTTCCTTTATCAATCCCCCATTCTTCTCTCCATTCTTGCAGCAGTTGGGTATACTCTTCAGTTTCATTCTTGGCATTGGCTTCTTGAACTTCAATCTTTCCTTTTGGCAGACCAAATACAGCTTTGACATCTTCATCTTCAATATCTAGCAGCTCACCATTTGCAAGTTGTAGCTGTCCTGAAATTGGTCTAAAGTTCTTCAACAGAAACTCAACCAAATCTCCATAGAATCTGTCAAAGTTTAAATGCAGTAATCCCCCAAACCCAATCCTTTCAACTGCTACTTTTTTGTTGTCATCTAACAGTTTAATCAACTTCATGAAAGGGGCTGGTCCTACTCTTGTTCTGAGGTTTACGGAAGCCGGCCTGTTGCTTCTCTCTATTTCACATTCATCATCTGATTCTTCAGATTCTTCTTTCGGCTTTTTTGGCTCTGCTTTTCTTTTTTTGCTGGTTTTTTGCTTTTCTAGCCTTAGAATTGGTTCTTCTGTGTTCACTATTCTTGCAGCTTCATTCTGATGTTCTGCTTGATGATTTTCATTTTCAGGAGCTCCAGCACTTCTTGTATTCCTTATATTATACCAAATACTCCGTATGATTAAGAATTATAGTCAAGTCACATATTATTTTATACAGTTCATGCAAACGCAGTTAACATTCACATTTTACATGAGCAATGTGCATTGGACTTTGTTGTAGTCATGTTTAAATTCAAACACGTGATATGTTACTATACACGTATTATATACGGAGTAATTATTAATTTATGTTACAACGTTAAGAATATGCATTGGATATTTGCACTGACATAGTAAGGGACAGAGTGTACATACTTCATAATAACATAAATGTACATAATTCTTACACAACTGGAATATATACTTTGTACTCTGCCCATGTTACATATTGTCATTCATAAGTTACATAGTTAGTCAATGCAGTGACACCATTCACAAGCACTTTGAAGAATGTTCTCTGGACAATATTTGCATTCAGATAACATTATAGTGTATACTTGATAACTTAAATAAACATCAGGTATTTTTGAATTTTGAAACACAGGCAGATGCACATTGTGAAACAAAAATTACTTTGCTTGTATTTGCTTGTATAATCCCACATATTTTCTGTTAGATCAAGAGGATAAAAATGGTAAAATATAAGGGTGTGAAATATGGCTGAACCGGATATCACTTCTAGTCACGTATCAAATACGCTTTCCTAAAAGTTTACTATCTACCCTTATCACAGTAACCAGCTGCAATGCGGCATCCTTTTAAATTCAAAATTATTAAATAGTGATGCATTTATCTAGAATATTTTATGTAGTTAAAGCTATAAATGTTCTAGAGAGTTATGGCTAAAAAGGTTCTAGAGAATTCTCTACTAGAGAATTCTTAACGAGAGTCTAGATTAAATAGAAGTAGAACACTCTAGAATCCTAGCATTTAATAAGGATCTAGAATGATCCTCTAGCTCCTATAAATAGGACTCATTGTACTCATTTGCTCACCAAGCAAAACCAAGCAACATCAATAAAATTACAAGTTTTCTAGAGACAAGAGCTCTACTCTAAAACACCTCCTCTACACTACACCTCACTAAAATCACTTAACATATTCATACACCAACAACCTCCTATTTTCTAACAAAATCCAATTTTTAAAAGAGCTCATAAGAGCAAAACGAAATTAGGAAAAAAGTAATACATTATTATTATACTCCGTAATTATTATGAGATCATAGTGCACAATATGTTCTCATTATATATATAGACAACTTTTCATGTCCAGCCGGCCTGACTTGAACCGCCGTCCGGCCGAGGGCATTTCGGGTACTTCCCGGTGGAATTTTTTGATGAAATTTTTTGGTCATGTTCTTCATCAAGTCTAGTTTATCCATACCAAATTTTAGGTCCAAATTCGATCGGGAAGGCATTCAAATAATTTTTTGAAGTTGACTGCGTCAAAGTATACATATAAAAACCCAGTCAACTTCAAACATTTGAGCTGAAATCATTTGACGACCTTCCCGATCGAATTTTGAGCTGAAATTTGGTATGGACAAACTAGACTTGATGAAGAACATGTTCCTCATCAAGTCTAGTTTGTCCATACCAAATTTCAGCTCAAAATTCGATCGGGAAGGTCGTCAAATGATTTCAGCTCAAATGTATTTTCCGGACCAGTTAACTTGCAAAAATCATTTGACGACCTTCCCGATCGAATTTTGAGCTGAAATTTGGTATGGACAAACTAGACTTGATGAGGAACATGCTCAAAAAAATTCATCAAAAAATTCCACCGGGAACCGCCCCAAACAGTAAAGTTCGGACGGTCCCTCCCGTCCCTCCGGAGGGACCTGATCTTTTCTATATATATATATATATATATATATATATATATAATCATAACATTAAAATAACATCATTTTAATAATTCACATTATTTATAAAATGAACAAGGACCATGTTAACAGGGGCGGAGCCAGCACTGGGCCAGACTGGGCCGATACAAAGAATATTTTTAAAAATTTTTTTGCCTGGAATTTTTTACACTAAAAATGAAGACATTTTTTAAATTTAGGCTAGGCCAGGGCCAAGGCTGGCCCACCCCTATCTCCGCCCCTGACCATGTAAATTAATAATTGAGCTTTATTTCCAATAAATCTCCAACATTTTCATCACAAAAAAACAATCGCCTTGATTAGTTGATTAATGTTTCAGTCTATGTTATACTCCCTAGATTATACTACCATTACTACGTACCTGCCAACCGACTTTCCCTGAACACTAAACATTTTGATTCTACTTGCCGCTACACTTGGTCGAAAGTTGCTGCGGTCGAATCCTTTATTTAACCTCTTGTGTTCTTTGCGGATATTTGTATAGAAAGTACTTCGTCGAACTTGCTTCAGAAATGCTCAAATGCAGAGCGAAAGTTTTTGCAGAAAGTAAACTTTTGGATTTTGAAGCGTAATGACAACGGGAGTGGAGAGCCGAGAGCATCACCACAGCAAGGAAAGGGGGGGATCCGTTGGTGACTTGGTTCCCGTGCGCGTTTTTTTATATTTACAGCATTGTTTTTTAAATAAAAGTTACGGAGTACTTTTAATGTCATGCTACGTCGTTTTGGCCGCGAGAGTAGAATGCTCAAGATGGGGCGATGGGCAACTCCCACGGTATACAAATACTCAGTACGTAGGTTGAATTCAACGTATGCAAAATGACGTAGTTGGCGTACACTCGTACAGGAAGGTTTAACTCACTCATAACAAAGAAAAATTAAAGGGAAAATGGGCAAATAAGCCCTTGAACTAACCAAAAAAGTGTAAATCACCCCTTATATAAGAGGTTTTGTGCGGCCGTCGCCATTTGGGGCGGTTCCTGATGAAAATTTTTGATCATCTTCTTCATTAAGTCTAGTTTACCCATACCAAATTGTAGCTAAAAATAAAACCAGGAAGGCAGTCAAATGATTTTCTGAAATATACTGTGTTGTTTAATTCCGCTGCTATCTTCAAAAATTCATTTCACTGCCTTCCCGATTGAACTTTTTTCGAAATTTGGTATTGGTAGAGTAGAAATAATGAAGAATATGCTCAAAAAAATTTCATCAAAAAGTTCCAACGGGAACCTCTCCAAATGAAAACGGCCGGATAGAGCCTCCTACATAAGGGGTGATTTGCACTTTTTTGGTTAGTTTGAGGGTTTATTTGCCTCTATTCCCAAAATTAAATAAGAAGATGTGACTGCATATGTTATCAAATGTAAACAATGAAAATAAGGCATCTAATTGCTCAAACTAATTTAAGTAAATACTCCGTAGTTAATATGTTTTGTTTTTTAATATTAAGGCCACAAAAATGTTTCAAACAAAAATATGTCTTCGCCAAACAGATATCTTTTGAATTCGCGAGCTGGACTCTCGTAGTTGGAGTGTTTTTTCGGATTGGCTAAGGGAGTGTTTGCAACTACTTAAAAAAAAAAGTGTTTCCCAGCTTTTGGCCTAAAAAAGCACTTTTTTATCAAACACTCCCAATTTTTACTTTTTCTCGGCTTGCGTGTGAAAAATGTTTTTCCCTTTTCTATTACACAAAAAACACTTATTTTACCAAACACTACCAACTTTTACTTTTCAAAATCATTTTTTTTCTCAAACACTATCAACTTTTACTAGTAATCACTTTTTCCTTACATCTTCAAAAGTGCTTTTTTTAAGCAGAAGCAGTTGCAAACACTTCCTAAAGTTATTGGATATCAAAATTCATATTATTTTATTATCTTTCATTTAATACCAAAATTGCATATTTCAAAAATTAAAAAATTTATTTAGCACTTTTAAAAATATGTTTTTAAATTGTTATACTCCGTAAATTGTTTTGCTCCGCGTACTTCGTATTTAAGTTTTTGGAGTACTACGTATTGTTTTGGAGTAATACGTATAATTTATAAGTTTTTGTTAATTACTGTAAATTATTGTTATTGTTAATTATTGTTCTTGTTTAACAGCAAAATTACTCTATAGTGTGGTAAAAATCTCTTATAAAATTACCATCAATTTGTCATTTTGACTACAAGTTGGTCTTCATCATAACTATTTTTGTGCTGAGAGAAGATTAGCCAATTTCCGTTGCCTTTTCTGGAAAAAAACAAATGGGAGCTGGCTAACTATGGAGGTGTTTACTTCACTGCTAAAGTACAGTTAGGTTAGTAAGACAGGTGAAGTAAACACGCACACTGCTTAAAAAGCCGCTTACTAACCGAAAGAGGTGCTTAAAGTGCCGCTTATTAAGCATACCACCCCCTATGTATTAATTAAGCGGCACTTTAAGCTTTTTCAGTTTCCGAATTTACCCCTTGCCCTTAACCTATTGTTATCCCTGCCCCACCTCGACCCCAACCCCACCTACCCCGACCCCACCCTACCCCGACCCCACCCTACCCTTATCCCACCTACCCTGACCCCACCCTACCTCGACCCCACCCTACCCTTACCCCACCCTACCTACACTACCTAACCGACCCCCACCCTACCCTTACCCCACCTACCCCGACCCCGCCCCACCCCCACCCCTACCCTTACCCCACCCCGACCCCACCCTACCTACCCCACCCCTACCCTACCTAACCGACCCCCACCCTACCCTTACCCCACCTACCCCGACCCCCACCCCACCCTACCCTTACCCCCACCTACCCTACACCTACCCGAACCCACCCTACCACTACCCTACCTACCCTACCTACCCTACCTACCCGACCCATGAATGTTTGTGTGTGTATATATGTATAGAGTTATTTTGGACATTTTAATGTTAAGCGGTGTTTTAAAACCGTTTGAAGTAAACACGGTCTTACAACATTGTTTATTTTATGCGCCGCTTATTAACACGGGTCTTAATAAGCACCGTTTAATAACCGGTGAAGTAAACATGTCCTATGTTTTCAGATGGCCGTTCCTTTTTTTTTTCAGGTGGCTGCCGAATCCTACAAAGGTTTCAGTTGACTCTTTAATTAATTATCTTTTCTTTTTTATTCTTTTCTCTTTTGTTTTTGGTACGTTTCATCTCTTTTCAGTACTCTTTGTTTTTCTTGAGTACTTTATCACTAAACAATACAGGGATAATCAATATAGGGATAATAAAAGGGGTTTGGCATCATCAAAAATAAATATAGATCATCAAAATCAGGAGACCTGACCATTTCCCGCTTTTGATGATGCAAAAAACTAGAACAAAAAACAAACAAATAAGACATGAAACTACATTTGAGATGCCCAGAATTCTTTCCCCCTTTTTTGGCATCAGTTAAAATGTACTTTCTTCTTTGCTTGGAAGCGCCCTTGATGAGATGATTCCCCAGGATAAATTCCCAAGGTAGCCTTCCTCTTTCTTCTCTCATTTGCATGCTTGACTTCTTCCAATCTGCGCTGGTATATCCTGCTGATGTATTCCATTGACATTGCAATCTCAATGTTTTTCGTTCTTAACCATCCCAGAGCAAATCCTTCTGCTCGCTGCATGTTTATTGCAGTGAGGAGTAAAATGTCGAGTGAAGACAACCTCCAGTGTCTCCATCTGAGCACTTTGTGAAGTTCTTTGTCAAGAACTTCTTTTTCAGTATTGAGAATAATTATGTCCTCAATGATTTCAAGATTCTCTTCTTGGGCTCTAGTGAGTATTATCTTTCTGGGTTCTGGAGGTGCCAGAGATAGCTCAAGGGAAATATGTTGTGATGAGGGATGCTCCATTTCAAGAAGGTGATGTTCTCCCAGAAATTTCAGAGCTAGAGGATGTAGTGGTGAGGCTTGAGAAATGAGAATGATACATTTTTGCGGAGCAAAGAGGATGTTTATATAAAAAGCATGCTTGATGCATTAGTACATATTCAATCGTTGAAGCAAATGAAATTAGTATCCAAAAATATACCATCCAATGTAATTTCAGAATTTGTATATAAACTTTTTTTAATACAAAATTTGTGTATAAACTTCACTCCATATACATGTTTTATGAAAAACAATTACTACGAAATTAGTAGAAAACTTATTCCAGAAAAAAAAAATCTATTGTAATTTCAGTTGAAGATAAACAAAAGTAGAAAAAATGTATGATTACGAAATACAATATACTTATTTTTTGTGGATTAACAAAATTTGGTAAAAATTCCGTAAAGAAAAAAGTGTGTAAATATAAACAATATTAAAGGAAAAAATAGTGTATAACGACACTATTAGCCTGCTGCTAACGACACAGTAGCCTACCACTTGTTTTTTCCACAATACTTCGGGTATATAAAATACAAATGGTAACAAATAAGTATAGGAGTAAATCAAATCAGTGGCTCTACTTGGTATAATTTATCCTAAATGTTTTTGCATTATTTTAATTTAATAACCCTTTTATCAGTACCTTATTTGAATGTACTTGGTAATACCCCATGTACTGTAATATTATTTATATTTATATTTTCTATTTTTTTTGTTATTTTTTAATGGCAATTTGGAGACTTTTTAATGGTGTGGGGGCAAATTGAACAACTTTGTCAAAAAAACTCCAATTCAGCACTGAACTCGCCAAAAAAGTTCAAATCCCATTTTTTGCAGGTGAGTTTCCGGTCATTGCCACGTCAGCCGGTTAGATGCCAACCATGCATCCCACATGGAAATCTAAGGTCTAAGGGGTCAAATAGACTCCTGAACCCGATAGTTTTTTCCCAAAACTTATTTCCCAAACTGAGGTAGTTTTTGCCTTGTCATGTGCCATGTCAGCATTTAATATTATTTTGATAAAATTGCCACAACCTAATTCCATGTCATTTTCGGGCATCCCAGATCTCTTAAACGGAGGATAGATTAAAAAGTAAAAGAGGCTTGTGGGATTCGAACCCATGTAGTTTGTTTACAACTTTACACCCATCACCAATGACACCACCAGGCCACTAAATTCTTTGTTTTCCAAATTTTATTTAGCGAATTAGATTTATGTCACTTTATAAGTTCATAGTACTACGTATAAAAAACTAGTAGATTTTTTTTAGGGCACACGTTTAGTTTGCTATTACTTTTCCATAAAATTACTTTGTTATTGGCTGCATTTGTAATATATGTATATAATATGCTTACATGTAAGGAAAAAATAATTTAAATACCTTAAACTTTAATGTGGTGTAACTGTGTGAGATAAGTGCATCAAATTTACATATGTAATATACATACCCCAAATTTATATGAAAAGTATTTTTCGTACCATGATTGTATGTTTTTTTACAAATACAAATTTATTGAAATAATTAGGGATAACTGTCAAATAGGTCCTCGAACTTTCATAAAAAGGTCAATTAAGTCCTTCTATAGGAGGTTCTGTCCGGCCTTCGCGATTTGGGGCAGTTCCCGGTGGAATTTTTTGATGAAATTTTTTGATCATCTCATTCACCAAGTCTAGTTTACTCATACCAAATTTCAGCTAAAAATTTAATCGGGAACACATTGAAATTAATTCTTGAAAATAACTGCGCATTTTTGCGTTCTCGAATTAATTTGAATGCGCTCCCGATTAAATTTTTAACTGAAATTTGGTATGAGTAAACTAGACTTGATGAATAAGATGCTCAAAAAATTTCATCAAAAAATTCCACCGGGAACCGCCCCAAATCGCGACGACCGGACAAAGTCTCCTATAGAAGGGCTTAATTGACTTTTTTTATGAAAGTTCGAGGACCTATTTGACAGTTTTCCCAAATAATTACATAAAATATTCTAAGCTTTGTTGGAATGCAATTAAAATTCTAAAATTTCATTTGTGAAATAAATAATATTACATCCAGTACAATTTGATTTGAGTTGCATCCTCATAAATGTTTTTGTGTATTTTAAATTATGTACTTAACACCATAAAATTATATTTTTGAAAAATATATATAATCATGGTGCTAATATAATTTTTTATATAAAAAGTTTGGGGTATATGTATTACATGCGCAATTTTGGGGTACACATCTCACACCCACTTTTAAAATTTGTTATTTTGTTATTATTGCTACCGTAGAAGATGGGAAATTTGTTGACGCAATGAGCCTGTTTGGTGACTCTGTTTTTCGGCTTATCAGGCTTATTGGGAAACTTTTAAACCAAACACGTAACTTTTAATTTCACGCTCTCAATTGTGTAATACTCCGCAATAAGCAAAAGTAAGTCTGTAGTTACTTTTCTGGCTGTATTGGCTAAAGTTACTATAGATGATCATTTTAACTATTTTTCATATATTTTTTTCTTTATTTTATTAATAGAATATATTTTTTTCTTCATAAATCAGCAGAATCAGCCAATACAGTCACTTCAGTCAGAACTTCATAAATTTCTGCAGAATCAGCTGATTCAGCCGATTTCAGTGTTATCAAACAGGCTCTTTTAGGGGTGAGCATGGGACGGTACGGGACGATTATTTCGAAAAAAATGTCCCGTCCCAAAGTACGGTTGTTTTTAAAATCAAGAACCGGTACCGTCTCGCATATATATAGAATCTGTCCCGTTCCGTACCAATTTTCGATACGGTTCGGTACGATTCTTCGGTGTTATTTAGTTCCTTATCTCTTACTTTATATATCAAATTTTTATCAAATTTGATTCTGGTTTTGCAACTTTGTAAAGCTTTTAATGTAGTTTCTGAATACGTAATTTTTTTTATTCTTGGTTCCTTGACCAAGTGTACTTATAAAGTGACATAAATCTAATTCGTTAAATAAAATTTAGAATACAAAGAATTTTAGTGGCCTAGTGGTGTTATTGGTGATGGGTGTAAACAAACTACTTGGGTTCGAATCCCACAAGCCTCTTTTACTTTTTAATCTATCCTCCGTTTAAGAGATCTGGGATGCCTGAAAATGACATGGAATTAGGTTGTGGCAATTTTATCACAAATAATATTAAATGCTGACATGGCACATATATGACAAGGCAAAAACTACCTTGGTTTAGGAAATAAGTTTAAAACCACCCTCTTTTGGGAAAAAACTCTCGGGTTCAGCCGTTCAGGGGTCTATTTGACCCCTTAGATTTCCACGTGGGATGCATGGTTGGCATCTAACCGGCTGACGTGGCAATGACCGGAAACTCACCTGCAAAAAATGGGATTTGAACTTTTTTGGCGAGTTCAGGGGTGAATTGGAGTTTTTTTGAGTTCGGGGTGCGAATTGAGCATTCCTAAGTTTTTTGCTTGTGTTTTTTTTCAATACAGGGCTCTATGTTTGATGTAACTCTTGTTTTGCAAAATATAACTTGTGTCGATGAAAAACCTAACTTCCATGTATGCCAAATGTGACTTTTTGACACAAGTCTCAATATAACTCGCATATAGAAAGACGTAACACAAAAAAAAAAAAAACGGTGGGCGTAGCTCAACTGGTAGCGAGGGAGTGCCACAAGGGTTAGGTCTCGGGTTCGAATCCTGGCAACTGCGATGAGGTGTTACTATGCTGAAAAATGCATAGGGCTCCTGCAAGTACCCGGGGACAAAGTCTTACTCTCTATCTGTCAGATTGTGATTATAGTCCAATTTACATCCTCCCATCGTGCCGTCCGGTCGGTGTTGGGGGGCCTTCAGGGATGGGGTGTCATCCTTTTTTTTTACGTAACACAAAAAATATAACATGCTCGATAAAATAATACAATATGTAAAACAATGTTTCCTACTCGATTGAGTTGTTCCAAAAGGTTGAATCGCCAACCCCGAGCGCCCCCCACGCCCCGACCCGACAAGACTTTTGGGAGGATGTAAGTCACGGTGACTCAGTCAGTAGAGTGACAGGCCATGCACCCGTGCGCACAAGAGGCCCAGCCTTATTTCAGATTCTGTGACCTCCACTCGGCCGCTGCGGGGATTCAAACCTTGGTCATTGTTCCAAATTTCCCACCACTCGATCAACTGAGCTACCTGTGCGGGTTTTCTACTCAATTGAGTGTGATTAGGAGTAGGGATGATCGAGTGGTGGGTAAAAAATACGTAGTAATCATTGATGCTCTAAACTTCCCACGTGATGGTCGAACCTTGAACAGATCAGAGCACTTAAGTGCGGTCGACGCCTTGTCGAACAATTATTGGCCCAACCCTTCTAAGAATCTTACGGAGTACTATTTACGACGCCACTATTCACACTAATCGAGTATGTAAACTTTCCGTCTGAAACCATCACTTCCAAGTTCCATCTTCCATCCCTACTCCTAATCACACTCAAGTATGTACTTGTACAGTACTCCGTATTGTTTTCGTCTCAATTGCATGTTACATCTTTCTATATGTAAATAAATTATTAATGCTCCAAAAGGTGTAAAAAATGTTTTATAGGGTAGCCCAATTGGTCCAATTAGTGCGAAATTTAATTGGATCAATGGACCAAGGTTCTAAAAAAAAAGAAATTTCAAGCGTCCAGGGGGCAGGGATTCCAAACGTAGGTTTAAGTTTCTAAATCCTGAAATTAGAAATAAAAAATTTAGCCTACATAACACATGATTCTGAGGTTGCCAAAGTTACCAAATAAGGTGGATTTTTATATCCCGGTTCATAGACAATATTTTGCACAAATAAAATATTGTCCCTGAATCGGGTTCACAGAAAAAAAATAAACATCACTTCACAAACATTGTGGGTATAAGATGGGTATACGAGTGGCCTGGGTACATCAAACATCATTATTACGTAGTATGTACGGAGTATTATTTAATAAGGTACTGTAGAAAAACCCTAACAATAAAGTATCTTTGTTAAAGTTTAAACTCTTAGGATGTTTTTACTTGGACTCAGGTATATTTGTATTTTTCAAAACTATTCAAGTCTGGTCTGGTCTGACCTGGGACATGTTACAGTCTAAGTAAAAATTTCCTTATGCAACAATTGCTTTCACGAGAATCTCGGGCCTCTGTTTTGTCCC